TCTTTATTGTGTTACTCTTTGCTAACACCTCTATTCTTTGACACCTATATGACCTACTTATGTTGCAAGTGCCGTAAAACCCGTACTGAAACCAAAACAATTATAAAGTCAGTTCTTTGTTCAAACATTGATCACAGAGAATTAACAAAAGCAGCCTCAGTGCATTAAAAAAATTTGTACTATACCTGTGAAAGACCTGGATAGATGGAGTCAGGGAAACATTAACCACCCACGGCATCCCCCTGACCCAAGCTCTCTAGCTGGCGACATAGAGACGTCTCTTTCTTCCCGCGACGCCCAAAAGGGTATAAGCGGCTGATAAAAGTAAAGTAAAGTAAAGTAAAATACCTGTTGGCACCTTTGTTTTCACAGAGTGCTTTGTGCAGACATTAGGACTGCAATTTTGAATAGATTATAATAGATAACCTAGGGTTTTCAATGATCTTCTGGGTTTTTTTTTTCTCTCTTCCAGAAATTGTTTGCCGAGTCCAAGGAGAAGGCAGACAGTGATTTGATGAGAGCAATGGGCAAAGGAGGTGATGATGATAATGATGACGGTGGCAGCGAGACGGAAGACGATGGTGATAATAGTGGAGAGGAAAATGGAAGAAATGGAGATGCCACTGGTGCGACAAGAATAAGCACGCCTGGCAAAAAGGGAGAGAAGCGACGTGCCAGCGATGATGTGAGTGAGGAGAGTTCTCCGCCCAAAAAGCAGGTACTACAAAAAGTTGATAATGTTGGATACATTTTTATTATGTTTGATATTTTTTACTTGTTGGTGTTCATCAACTGTAGTTATGCATTGTTTGTTGAAATTTATGGCTTTGTGAGACACAGCATTGTTAGCTGTGAAGGTTTCAGGCTGGATGGCAATACCAACAATCTTGCTTTGAATCAAATTAAGATATATGTGGGTGGTTGGCGGGTGTTTTGGTGTGGTTTGCTCCTTCTTTCCTATCAAACGTCTATCGTCCTGGTCTCCCCTCCCTCTTTTTTTGTGTTTGTTACTCTCTTGCAACACGTTATCTATTCTTCGGCACCTATATGACCTTATTGTGTTGCAAGTGCCGTAAAACTCTTACTAAAACTAAACTAAAAAGATATATTGATAGTGGTTTGCAGATGCTCTAATGTGGTTTGCTCCTTCTTTCTTATCAAACATGTATTGTCCTTATCTCTCCTCCTTTTTCCTGTTTGTTACTCTCTTGTAACGTCACTTATATTTGACACTTATATGACCGTATTTTGTTGCAAATCCCGTAAAACTCTTACTTAAGCTAAAAAAAGATATATCTTTTACTAGGTATTTTTCATGGCTCTCCTACTTCCTCTTACATGAAGTCTATTGGACATTGATATTGAATTGGTAGTCAAGTGTTGTTGAATCTGTCTATAATGGTCACTCAATGTCACAGAGAAAATGGACAGCTATAGACTAGCGGTCGCTATGGACAAGGCCTGAGTTATAGCCACTTGATAGTATTACAAATCAATACATGGTTTAAAATGCGAAATCATAAATTTACCTCTCCATTTCTTTTCCATCAAATTTGTGATTTGTCATAATATTACATGTGTCTTTTGCATTGATTGAACATACACACTCAGTTTGAGGATGGGTTTTTTGAAGACTTTTGAAGCTAGTGACTGCCTTGCTATAGATGGCCGGATTACCCATTTATCTTGATTACAAGATTAGATGTTTGCAATTTAAAGAGGTGGGGGTCGCTTGGTTTGAAAGGTACAATTACCAAGAAAATGGCTGACAAAATTTGGTTATTTACATAACCTGAGAGTCAGTGGAAACTGACAATTTACATTTTTTTGTGCTTTAATTCAAGTTTTTCTGTAACCCACGTAGAAATGAGTTCTTAAGTGGACATTAAAGGTGATGAGCCAAAAAACAAATTTTCGATAAAAGCTGCCAAACTGGCGGAAAAATGACAATTATTCAATTTCATTTTTTTGACATGCGCCTGATTTCACCACGCTGCATCGCATATGTTTTTTTTTCCTCTCATTTCTAAACAAGGCTAACCCCATGGGCAAGTACGGGGCCAGCTGCCATCAGAAGAGGGGCAAACATACGGAGGAGTTCCGGCACCCAGAGAGTAGCTCGGCCGACACAGCTTCGTCTGGGGGCTCCTCCAGTCAGACAGCGGGGAGTGCTTCGGTGAGAGGACTGTGTGTGTGTGTGTTTGTATTTGTGTGTGTGTGTGTGTGTGTGTGTGTGTGTGTGTGTGTGTTGTGTGTTGATTTATTTGTGTATGTGTGTGCATGTATGTGTGTTTATGTTGATGGATTTGCACATAGTATGTGTATTTGTATGTGTGTATATGATTGGGATTCTGTATCTGTATCTGTGTGTGTGTGTATGTGTTTGGGATTTTGTGTATGTGTGCGCGTGCATGCGTGTGTGTGTATGTGTGCGCGTGCATGCATGTGTGTGTGTGTGTCATGCGTGCATGTGTGTGTGTGTATGAGCTGGGGGGATATATTATGCGTTTCATTATTATTTGATAATGTGGAAAATGTTTGTGAGAATTCTCAAACTCACTCAGAAATCATCAAGAATTAGCTCAAACTTCTTTCTTTCGCTCTGCTCTCCTCAGGGACTGCCGGCAGTGTTCCACGGGTGCAAGATCGTTCTGCCATCCTCTGTGGAGAGATTCCGTGATCTGAAGCGTTACATCTTGGCCTTTGACGGGGACTTGCTGCACCAGTTTGAGGCCAGCTCAGCCACACACATTGTTGTGGCCCCGGGGAGTGAGGTGAGGGAGTGGTCTCAATGATCCACACCAAGTAGCACGAGTTATTTATTAATTTGTGTGAAATTGGGCTTATGAAAGAAATTTTGCGTCTGTCTGTCTGTTGGTCTTTTTGTCTGTCTATCTGTCTGTCGCTCTGTCTGACTGTCTTTTGCCCGTCCATCACCTGTCTTCTTATTTTTTTCTTCTTTGTCTCACTGACCTCTTCTCTGAAATGAATGTGGCAGTAAATTAGAAATAGAATCGAATTTACTACTACTCCTACAGATAATAGCAATAGCAAGGATGATGAATAAATGATGTAGATCACTTTTATACTGGCTACTCCAATGTGCACACTGCTGTAGACACTTTCACAAATCTGAAGTACAAATTCATAAATACCCCCCCGGGGCAGTGCCACTGACTGAAGTGTCTTTAGGCCATTCCCAAAGGGGGGACATATCTCGTTCAAGCATCGTAGAATTTTTAATGGGCTGACTCATGTCACGCTCATAACTGTGCCTGATCTACAACAGGGAACTGCTGCTTTTTCTTTCCTGATCCTTACTATTGTCATTTTCCTCTACTTCTTTTGTATGCTTGTCACTCCCTTGTGACCTGCTATTTTGGGGTGCCTTGATAGTTGAAGCAGACATTGTGCTGTTGAAGCTAGAGAGGTGAGCAGTCAAAGTCTGATTCCCTGTAAAGACTTCTCTGTTGACAACCACCCCTTGGCGCTCATATGACCTTATGCAGTTGCGAGCGCTGTAAAACCCTCTACTATAAATAAAAAATAAAAATTCATAAATAAACAATACAGCCGACTCCACTTGTATGGATGATCTTGCTTGATATGATCTTCGTTAAGTTGATCTTTTTCTCGGGTTCCAGCACTTCTTCTTTACACCAGTTTTTCTCACAGGGAAAGATCGTGTCAGTATGTTACTGTTTAGCATCTTTAAAATGGCAGCTTGCGCTGTATGATTCCCAGGAAGTTGAGACTGTTTCAGAATGCTATCAGGTCTGCCGCGGTAATAGTATAGATTGTAGAAGCACATAGAGCTTGCTGTTGTGTGGGAATTTGTGCTATACAAATGCTATCTTTTCTTCTCCTTCCTCTTCTTTGCAGTTCCCAACGGTTAGTTTAAACTTCGAATGAGTTGATCTTTCATTTTACACTCCCCCAACGACATCAACTCATCCGTAGTCGACTGCACTCGCCACGCAGTGAAAAATTAATCTTTGCTCATATGCACACTATTATCTTTGTCTTTTTCTGTCTGCAGCCCCCCAGTGTGAGTAGCAAGGTGCCTCGTGTGAGTCCTCGGTGGCTGTGGTCGTGCATCCGCAGGAGGCAACTGGTGGACACAGCTCCCTACAAGACGTAGTGTGGTCGTTTGAATGGCTTAGTTAATTAATGCTGGATCGATGATAACAACATCAGCAACACTGGACTGATTGAATGAGTTTATGATGTGGATAGGATAGGACGAATCTACTTTCAGGACGTCCCAACTAGGTATTGAACATAGGGACCCTCAGCAGGTTATTCTTAATGGTAGACAAGGCCGCAAGTGAAAACTATTCAAACTTTTCAAAAAGAAAAAAAAATTAGACTTATGCCTTTTTAGAATTCTGAATTTGTTTTAAATATTGAAAGTTGAAAGTATTTTCATTCCTTGTTTGTCCATGATTGCTCATGAGTGCATGCATAGAGGACATCATGGTCCATTGTAGAATGTCATCTATTTAAATCTTCATTGTAGTAGACAGGTAGCCCCCACTCCCCATGGAATGTTTGAATACAAATGTATTTAAGAGAAAGAAAATAAAGAGATATGAACAAAAATTTGTAATTCTCAGAGGATTATGGTTTTTTTTTACAGTTGAATTTATTACTATTACATCCAATTGCTTGCACATTTAACTTACGCTGACTCTGAGACAACACAGACATTTTGTTGTTTTGTTAGCCTAAACGTTCTGCCAATCTTATTGAAGGATATAGTGATGGCTGAGAAGTGACTGTCCACTTTTGGTTGAAATGAAGTAATCAATATATGGGTAGTGAGATTTTCAGCTGCTCTTTTACCTCAGGTGTGGTTTGCTTCTTCTTTCCTTTCAAACATCTGTCGACCATATCTCTTCTCCTCCTTTTTATTTGTGTTTGTGTTACTCTCTTGTAACACCTCTGATCTTCAGTGCTTATATGACCTTATTGAGTTGCAAGTGCCGTAAAACTCTTACTAAAACAAGAAACAAACCATAGCAGCTGGTGCTGTTTGTTTGAAAATTATTTTTTTTTTGACATTAAAAAATAAGCTTTTGTTTACAACAAGTCAGGCAGAATTGAGTAAATAGGCATCTGTGGTGTAGCGGTAAGCACTTTGGCGTTGCATGCTGAAGACCTGAGTTCAATTCATGTGAGGGGAGAATTTTTATCAAGTATCTCAGTCCTTCTGCTGGGACGCTGCATCCCTCTCAGCCCTGGTTGATCATAATAGGCAGGGTTGACGCCTGTTGACTAAATGATCTAAATTGTGTTGTTTGGGTTAGTCAAAAACACCTGGGCTACGTTTGAATATTTTAAAAAGCTGGGTAACAAAACGGGCGTTATTAAGTAAGTTGAATGTGCAGCTGATTCCAGAACATGTGCAGACACAAAAATAAAGCAACCAAATGGAACAAATACCATAGAAGAACAGAAGCGAGATTATTTAGTATTAGTAGTAAGAGATTTACGACACTTGCAACACATTAGGTCATATGAGTGCCGAAGAAGATTAGATATTTTACAAGAGAGTTGCAAACACAAAAAAGAAGGAGAGATGAACACGATAGATGTATGATTGGAAAGAAGGAGCAAACCACACCATAGCACCCACCAACCACCCACAGCGAGATTATTATTGTCGTGCTGGTCACTACTACATATTGTAGTGTAGTATTACATGACGGTTGTTATAAATAACAGCAGAAGCTGCAACAATAACAAGATAAACATTAACGATCAATTCAACAATGACAGCACAACCAATGATAATATGATAAAACAAACAACAAAAATGAACACAACGACAACGCCAGCTCCCAACACAACAACACCTACAACAAGGGGGCTCCCGTGGTCTAGTGGATTTGGTGTTTGCCTCTCATTCAATAGGTCCCGGGTTCGAATCCGGACAGCGACAGAAAAATTTTCTTCTCCAAAATTTTTAACTCCTTTCTTGCTTTCCAACCATTTTCTGTCGTCTGCTTTTGTCTCCACTTTTTAACCACCCCCCCCTCCCCTTTGTCCCTCCTCTGGGCTCCTGACTCTTTCTGCAGCCTTTCTACTGCTACTCCTCGGTTCCTTCTCACTGCTGTCTTTCATCCACACCCCTGATCTTACGACAGGTAAGATCTGACACCTAGCCTTCTCGGACAAGGGCGAAAAAACTCGGAGAGCCCGTGTACAAGTTGCGCACGTTAAAGATCCCTTGGTGGTCTAAAATCGATAAGAGCAGGCTTCGGCCGCCACCCGGGCAAAATTCAAAATTTCCTAAAAACTGAAAAATGTTTAATGTGTACCGCGAGCTCATATGGCCTTAACTAGCGACAACGTTGATGAGACTAATGGCCATAAAATAATTATGAGAAAAAAATGAAACAGTAAGAAAAGTGGAAATAACAAAGGCAGATTTATTATATATTTACATATTAAATAAATAAAAGGCACAAATTTAGGTAATGTACATGATGTAGTTCCTTCAAATGAGTGTTTTGTCAAATTAATGGCATTATTTATCTCCCAACACGTGTGCTCCATTTAGATCCCTGTACAATCCATTTTGTCTCACGTGTCACAAGTTTGTCACTAACACGTTCTACTGTCGCACGTATATCATTACTAGCTGGACCCCTTTCGATGAAAGGAATGCTCGGTGCATTAACATGTCTGTATTTACACTGTACTGGAATGGAGCAATAAATCTTGAGAGATGCAAAAAATTAGAAGGTCCAGATTATACTCCCAAAACAAATTGCGCCTCGCGGAATATTCTGTTGTGGAGGACAGCTACGCTGATTTGTTTCATTTCTCATTGGAATAATCACAAAGGCCAAATAAGGACGGGAACTTTTTGTCAAATAATTGTGTCTAAATTCAGGAAATGAATAAATCAAAAATCGATCTCCGCCATGGGGACCTTTCTATCTTTTGCAGGTACTTGCCAACTTTCAACTCTGTAGGTGTCGCAGTTTATGGGAAAAGTGACACATGTGTTTCCAAGTTGCCAAAATATATTATATATATAATAGATGTATAGGTTGATTCTCTATTCGGCTTTCTTGGTTGTACACTCCCGAAATTCAACGGTGTGGAACTGGAACAGTGCGCACGGCTAGTGAACAGAAATCTCAATTGTTTACATGGCGTCTTAGAAGACGGACTTTCCCAAGAATAGATCCAAACGAAAATAATGAAAAACTGAAAATTAAACTACTGTGACTTCATACTCCTCAATAAAACTGTGCACCCTTTAAATGATTCTGAACCACTACTGATTTTTTTCCAATTCCAAAGTTAAGTGGTTGGGAAGTTTTAGGCGGCCAAAGTGAAGGACTTTCACAAATATACTGTGTATAGATAATTACGCGAATGGTCGGAGGGCGCGATTGGTTGGTCTTACTTCTTTACTTTCCCTCTCTGTGTCTGTCTGGCTGTCTGGCTGTCTGCTTGTCTCTCTTTTTCGCAGGATTGAATAGCCATTATTGTGTTTATGTGCTTTTCTTTACGCAAACAAACAAACCTCTGTCTGTCTGTCTGTCTGTCTGTCTGTCTGTCTGTCTGTCTGTCTGTCTGTCTGTCTGTCTGTCTGTCTTGCTTCTTCCTACACTAGATTTATATATGACCGTTACTGTGTCGATGCGCTTCTTTTTACCCAAGTTTATTATCATTACATCTATTGCTTCCAACAAAATTCCTGTGATTCGCTAATTCTATCGACGCCACACATTTTGTACTATCTGATGTATATTCCCTCACCCTGCCGGAATCAGGCAGGAATTTAGAGGACGTCATTGGGGTAGGCCCTCCTTGTTTACTTTCCCTCTGTTGTTTCTGTCTGCGTCTTACTTTTTCTCAGCATTAATACGACGTGCGTGGTTGGCGGATGCTCTGGTGTGGTTTGCTCCTTCTTCCCTGTCAAACTTCTATCGTCCTGATCTCTCCTCCTTCTTTTATAATTATGTTAGTTACTCTCTTGTAACACCTCTAATCTTGGGCACTTATATGACCTTATTGTGTTGCAAGAGCCGTAAAACTCTTACCAAAACTTAATAAAAAAGACTTTTTGTCTTGAGTTTGTCCCCAACAACTGTACCTCCGTCTACCGTAGTCTATGTCTGGGTGGTTGGCGGGTGCTCTGGTGTGGTTTGCTCCTTCTTTCCTATCAAACATCTATCGCCCTTATTACCCCTTCTTCTTTTTTGTGTTTGTTACTCTCTTGTAACACCTCTAATCTTCTGGCGCTCATATGACCTTAATATGCAGTTGGGAGCACCGTAAAACCTCTACTAAAACAAAAAACCCCCTGTAAAATGACTATGTGTCACGAGTTTCTTCAACAACTGTACTTCCGTCTACCGTAGTCTACGTCACTGTTTTGTCTCCAAAACGACTTTTTCCGACATCTGGCACTCCCCTCTGGAGTTGCACGCCATCACAGCAAAGTCGTATTCCGTTCCTGGGCGGAGCCTCGTCGCACTATGTTTCTCCTCATTGGCGCTGAGTTCTCGCCTATGCCACACCCCCGCCCCGCCCCCGGGCCGATACAGCAGGAAGTGAGCCACGCCCTGGCAGGCAGTTACAGCTGTTGTGCTGGGGCAGCAGACGACAGCAGAGGTGTTGCCGGTTTGGCACTGGTTTTCTAATATCACAGGAACTGATGGGGGTAAAGACAAGGAGAAAACATGTTTTTTTGTAATATGCACAGATTTGGGCTGGGAAAAAAAGCAAAAATTTGTCTGCACATTCTTTTAAAACTTCGAGCATTTCGGGAAGTGACTGGTTGGAGGGCGCCTCTGGTAGATCTAAGTCCTTCTTTACTTTCCTTCTGTTGTTTCTGTCAGTCTTACTTTTCCCCCAACACAAAATGATGTGTTGATGTGCGTCTCTTTGCTCAAACAAACAAAACCAAAACAAAGTGTACAGAAAGTTGCGTCAAATCCCTTTCTGCTACATGTTATAGGAGTGGTTAAATACAGTGGAGGGCGGCTAGATTTCCCTTCATAGAAAGTTAAGACAGGGAAAAGGCTACAATTTTGACACAATTTGATAAAATCCTCCAGAATCAGACATGTTTCAGTGTTTAGGCCACGACCGGATTCACTTTGATGAAATCGTGGCTGACAGCTAACCAGAAAGAAGGCTATTATGCACGGTTTAATAAGCCCAGTTCTTTAACTTAAATGACCCAAATTGTGATGGCGGGGTCACTAAAACACCTACATCCCCCGCCCCCCCCCCAAAAAAAAGAAAATTTTTCTTACCTGGTACCACGGTCTCTTGTTGACCAATGGTCATACACTGGACAAACTCGCTGCTTTGACTCCGCCCCTCTGCATTCAGTGCGCATGCGCTGAAGTAGTAGTGTGTCATCCTGCATAGGTTATCAATGACGACGACTTGGCCATCATTGTTGGTGGAAGGGGTGGGGTTTGGGGCGTCTAAGGAGAGGGTGGCGTAGTATCTCTCCTGTAATAATAATAATAATA